AGTCTGTCTGAGATGGTTCACCCCAGCGTGGAGGGGGCTTTGACTTTGGAAGACAGAGCCTGCTTGAAGCGCCTCTTCAGGTCCTGCATGTTGGGAGAGCGGGGCCGCGGGATGATGGAAGCTCTTCTCCTTTCCCCGCTGAGGCTGTGCAACTTGCTCACTTCTTTGCAGAGATGCTGAAACACATCACAGACGTCTTCGTAGTTTTCGCTAGTGGAAATTTCAAGGAACAGGCTGCCCAGCTCATTGGCTAGCTGAATGCCATCATGCGTCTGCACCTGCCGGGCATGCAGAAGGTCCCCCTTGTTGCCCACGATGATGACCGGGGCTCTAGAGTCAGGGTGGACCTTCCGGATGTGCTGGTAAAGGGGTCGGATGGACTGGTAGCTGTCGTAGTCTGTGATGGAATAGACCAGCAGAAAGCCCTCGGCCCACTGCACGCATTTGGACAGGGAATCAACCATCTGGCTGAGGTTGTCTTGCACCTGCGAAAGATCAGAATGAGACCCAGTCAAGGAAGCCCTCCTGGGAGACAAGCTCAAAATAACATCAAAGTAACCCTTGAAGAAACTGTAAAAAAAAACCTCACTAATATAGTTTTCAGGTCCTACCCAGCTTCTACAAAAGGAGGCTTCTGATATGGAAAGTGCAAATTCTCAGGCAAACCTCCTGCCTGGATTATTTTATTAGCTGTTATCAATGCATTATTTTTAAACTCCTTGCTTGACAGGCAGTCTCTGGTGAACCATGGCAGACTGAAGAATGAATACAAACTAGAATGGCTCAATTTTTAGGAACTAACTCATCATAAACAAAAGTTTGAAAATAAGCCAAGATAAATATCTATTCCCAAGCCCATAAAAATATTTTTAGCATGCACTTCTTGAGAATGTTACAGAAACAAATTCCTTTCTTTGGGTTCTTCCACAAGACCTTTCCTCCCTAGAAGGGATTAGCAATTAGTAACTTGTTAATCAAGTCACATTCCAGACCGCTGGCCAAGAGGTTATCTGACTGCAATTAGTGACTGGAGGGAACAGCCAGTGACAGAAGCACTTCAGTGGTCTTTACTAAGGGAGCAGGCCCTCTCCCACCAGAATCTCACCGCAGTTTTTTGTTTGCTTTTGTTTTGTTTTTTCTTTTGTTTTTTGGCGGCCGGATTGTACAGGGATGGAACCCTAGACCTTGGTGCTATCATCACTACACTCTAATCACCTGAGCTAACCGGTCCTCCTTTTGGTTTTTTGTTTGTTTGTTTTAATGGTTCCATGTCCTACCTCTGAAAGAAGTGGCAGGACCCACCTTAGTAGTGATGACCACCAGGGTTGCAAAGAGAAGTTAAGCACCGGGTGACTAAGAGGGGCCTGCCTCTAATCGCCACCCCCCCCCCATCCCCCGTGGAGGGTTTCTAACGCCCCAACCACTGGCCCCACCTGCGGACTGTCCTCTCCCGACTCTGAATGCACGATAGGAGCATTTAGACGTTTTGATCAGCCTGGGAGCCCAGGGTCAGCGCCCTAAGCGCTGAGCTCCTCCTGGAGGCTTGGGAGGGGTGAGCTGTTTACTCCTGGCAGTCCTTACCTGGGTTGCACCGGGAGTGTCCTGGATCTGCAGAGACAGTTGGTCCCCCTCTACACAGACGAGCCGTGAATACAGCTTGCCTGGAGAATGAAGGAGAGTTGGCTTTTAAATTCTCACACTCAGATCAGAAAAAAAGAACAAAGAAACATGCAGGCACAAACGCAGGGAGCATGCAGTTATCCTAACCTGTATTCGGTTCATAGTCGCCAATGAATCTCTTGGTAAGGAAGCGCACGATCATTGCTGAAAGGGAAACGGGAACATCAGTGGGACATGACGGTCAACCGCAGGCGTTCCCGGGGAACTGCAGCGAGGGACGCGCCGCAGAACCGCGGACTCTGCCAGCGTCCCGAGGCTCTGCCA